GAGAGTGAGAGTGAGAGTGAGAGTGAGAGTGAGAGTGAGAGTGAGAGTGAGAGTGAGAGTGAGAGTGAGAGTGAGAGTGAGAGTGAGAGTGAGAGTGAGAGTGAGAGTGAGAGTGAGAGTGAGAGTGAGAGTGAGAGTGAGAGTGAGAGTGAGAGTGAGAGTGAGAGTGAGAGTGAGAGTGAGAGTGAGAGTGAGAGTGAGAGTGAGAGTGAGAGTGAGAGTGAGAGTGAGAGTGAGAGTGAGAGTGAGAGTGAGAGTGAGAGTGAGAGTGAGAGTGAGAGTGAGAGTGAGAGTGAGAGTGAGAGTGAGAGTGAGAGTGAGAGTGAGAGTGAGAGTGAGAGTGAGAGTGAGAGTGAGAGTGAGAGTGAGAGTGAGAGTGAGAGTGAGAGTGAGAGTGAGAGTGAGAGTGAGAGTGAGAGTGAGAGTGAGAGTGAGAGTGAGAGTGAGAGTGAGAGTGAGAGTGAGAGTGAGAGTGAGAGTGAGAGTGAGAGTGAGAGTGAGAGTGAGAGTGAGAGTGAGAGTGAGAGTGAGAGTGAGAGTGAGAGTGAGAGTGAGAGTGAGAGTGAGAGTGAGAGTGAGAGTGAGAGTGAGAGTGAGAGTGAGAGTGAGAGTGAGAGTGAGAGTGAGAGTGAGAGTGAGAGTGAGAGTGAGAGTGAGAGTGAGAGTGAGAGTGAGAGTGAGAGTGAGAGTGAGAGTGAGAGTGAGAGTGAGAGTGAGAGTGAGAGTGAGAGTGAGAGTGAGAGTGAGAGTGAGAGTGAGAGTGAGAGTGAGAGTGAGAGTGAGAGTGAGAGTGAGAGTGAGAGTGAGAGTGAGAGTGAGAGTGAGAGTGAGAGTGAGAGTGAGAGTGAGAGTGAGAGTGAGAGTGAGAGTGAGAGTGAGAGTGAGAGTGAGAGTGAGAGTGAGAGTGAGAGTGAGAGTGAGAGTGAGAGTGAGAGTGAGAGTGAGAGTGAGAGTGAGAGTGAGAGTGAGAGTGAGAGTGAGAGTGAGAGTGAGAGTGAGAGTGAGAGTGAGAGTGAGAGTGAGAGTGAGAGTGAGAGTGAGAGTGAGAGTGAGAGTGAGAGTGAGAGTGAGAGTGAGAGTGAGAGTGAGAGTGAGAGTGAGAGTGAGAGTGAGAGTGAGAGTGAGAGTGAGAGTGAGAGTGAGAGTGAGAGTGAGAGTGAGAGTGTGAGAGGGTGAGTGAGGGTGAAGGTGAGGGTGAGGGTGTGGGTGTGGGTGAGAGTGAGAGTGAGAGTGTGAGAGAGAGAGAGTGTGTGGAGCTGAACTAAACCTCAGGCCCGTGAGTTTTTGGTGGCTCAGGCTGGATTCGAATTCTTGTAGAATTGCATATCTCTGGCATGATTAATCCTGGAGCAAGATCTGGGTCATCAGTCTAAACATGCGAGCCGCACTGATCAACAGCATTCAGTGCACCGCAATATTTTATTCCATCAAAAACCGTGAATAAAGAAATTAAAAGTCTGTAGTAGAAATGTCATGCCACGGCAGGCAGTAGATCAGGGCACTCGCAACGCCAAGGTCATGGGTTTGATTCCCAGTGAAAGCAAGATCTGATCAAATATATAACTTGAATGCAATGCAAGTCGCTTTAGATTAAAATGTCTGTCAAATGCATTAATGTGGAGGATATTTTCAGGACATGAGAGTTTGTACATTTTCTACCAGTTACACAGGAGCTGTATAAATGCAATAAAATAAAACCAAACTAAATAAAACCGAAAAATAGGATGGTTAAATTATAAAAATGTTTTAAATTTGCCTATGACAAAAATTCTAAAATGTTTTCTGCAAAAATCCTATTAAACAAGTCCTTAAGAGATATTACTAAATTAAATGAGACGACCACAGGAGCCAGATGAGTCCTCTGCACAATGTGACATTGCTGCAGCCTGGAATTGAACTGCTGGTTTCGTCTGGTCAGAGGAGAACTGGCCCCCGACTGAGCCTGGTTTCTCCCAAGGTTTTTTTCTCCATTCTGTCACCGATGGAGTTTTGGTTCCTCTGGCTTGCTTAGTTGGGGACACTTAATATCCAGCGATATCGTCGACTTGATTGCACAGAGACTATTTAAACTGAACTGAGCTGGATGATGACGTCACTGAATTCAATGATGAACTGCCTTTAACTGAAAATTGAGTGTTTACTATTGTCCTTCTGCATTATTGACACTATTTTCCTAATTAATGCTGTTCAGTTGCTTTGACACAATCAGTATTGTTAAAAGCGCTATATAAATAAAGGTGGCTTGACTTAAATCATCATCTAACTGCATTAAAAGCAGCACAGCCAATAAGATGTTTAGTAGAGAGGTCTTAAAAAAAATAAAAGCATCTGCACTCATTTCAAAATCTGCTTGAATAAACACATTAAAAAAAAAAAAAAGCAACTACGCTCATTTCTAAATAAATCTGCTTAAATTAAAAAAAAAATTTTTTTTTAAATAAAATTCTCATTTCTAAATAAATCTGCTTAAATATATAATTAAAAACAATTTTTTTTTAAAGCACCTACATTAATTTCTAAATAAAATCGAGCTCATCATGAGAAGCTGTGAAACTGTGATGAGGATCTTCAGCAGCAGGGAATGCTGGGATTACAGACAGCCGTCTCATTCGTCTGCTAATAAATAGACATGCAGTTTGTCTGCAGGCACAAACATAAAACCATGTTCCAGGTGCACGAGCCGCAGCTCGGGGTCGCGTGGGGTCAGAGGTCACAGGTCACATGAGCTCAGGTCGTTCAGTGGACCTCCAGTCACACCGGATGAAGGACAGGAGGGATTTTAGGATTTATTCTGAAACTGTTTTCACTCTGAAATTGCTAGTAAATTTATCAAATAATCAGTGGTGGAAGAAGTAGACAAGTATTTGATTAAAAGTACAGATATCCTCATGAAACATTACTCCAGTAAAATGTCAAGTCACTTTATATATTTAAAGCACTTTATACAATCCAGATTTTCAGCACTCATTTTCATTTGCTGATGAAGTTTGTGTGGCGCACTGCATGCACACGCTAGTGTACGCGTAAAGACTGAAGTATGCTTTGGCTTTAGACTCGTAATGTTTCTCGACTCGTGAAGCTTCGGCCCCCCAGAACAGAAAACAACGATTCGTTCGCTAACCGGACATCACTGCACGACAGCACTGTATAACTGATATAGGCTTATGCTTTATTTATTTTTTTATTTGAAATATTCCCAGACGTGTTAACTATGTCATGAAATATCTCGATTCTCAAATATGTGTAAGTAAATGCATTTTTCACCTTTATAGATTGTTAGTTGAGCTATAATGGGCGATGGATGTAATCTATTAACTACGCATAAAAACCCGTCTTTTTACTTAAGTACCAGATATGGTTAACTTAAATTAGAAGTTATTTTTTCAAGTCTAATACATGTTAAAATTGACAGCTCTCAATTACATTGTAATGTTGAATGGCTAGTGAATGGTTAAATATTAGAAAAAAAATGAATAGAGACCTCAGCAGTATTGGTATCAGTGATACTCGCCTTCAGTCATAAAAAAGATGCCATTAAACAAATATAAAAAATATACTGTCTTTATGTTGTTTCTACATTAATTTGAAGATAGAATGTAATATTATTAGAATATAAAATATATTTAAAAACTTTTAAAAATAATTAATCGCGATTGATTTCAGAAACAAATGTGTGATTAATTAGTTAATTAAATATTTTATGTGTGTGTATATATATATACAGACACACACACAGTCACTGTGTCACTCATCCGCTAGGATGCTTTAGGTGTCTGCTTACTGTCTCACGAACATGCTGAAGTCTGATAGTTAGCTCACATCACTAACACACACACACACTCTCTCTCTCTCACTCACACACACACACTCACTCACTCACTCACTCACTCACTCACTCTCTCTCTCTCTCTCTAACACACACACACACACACACACACTCACTCTCTCTCTCTCTCTCTCTCTCTCTCTCCACCAGAATAGAAAAACAAGTACTCTCTCACACACACACACACACCCTCACACTCTCTCACACACACACACACACACACACACACACTCAGGTTGGTTTTTATGGTTTATGAGGACTCTCCATAGGTGTAATGGTTTTTATACTGTTCAAACTGTATTTTCTATTGCCCTACACCAACCCTACCCCTAAACCTACCCCTCACAGGAAACTGCTGGCAATTTTTGAATTTCATAAAACACCGTTTTGTATGTTTTTTAAGCCTTTTGTTTTACGGGGACACAGGAAGTGTCCTCATAAACCATGTTTACCTGTACACACACACACACACTCAAGAGAGAGAGAGTTTGAGAGGTCAATCAGAACCAAGTTTCCTGGTGTTTATAATCTCCGTTTTCAATCTGGAGTTAAATGAAGCAGAATATGTGGAGGTGAGCAGATTGCGTGTGTTTTTCGGCCATTAGTCCAGTTTCTCTAAATGAACAAAACTGCAATTACAGCATAAGTGCTGCGGCCGCTACCAAAATATCTCGAGTCATTTGTTCTAAGCAGCTTTAATCAGATTTCCACATCGTTTCATTTAACGCTGATCCACACATGACCTCACGGTGAACCGCCAGAGAGCGGACATCACTAGGAAAGCTTTGTGACGGACGCTTCATCAAAGGCAGAATAACGGCGAGCACTGCCGCTACAAACTTTCTTCTGGGAAAAAAAGTACATTTCTCAGGGTTTTAAAGTCAAGATTTGTTCCTGGAAAGAGCATAACCTCTTTTAATCTCTGTGAAATGAGCCCTCCATTATTTTTAGCAGCAGTGTTTGCATTCGGGCTACGAGTCAAAAACCGGTGGATATTTGCATACTGAGGTCAGAAACGAGCCGCCTCAAAGAGCGCGAGCCACACGTTTCATTACATGACCCGCCTCTGGCCGCTCACACTCTACTAGCCCTCGCGGAAACAGAAGACGGAGAAAATGCAGATCAAAGGAGACTTCAAAGCCACAGCATCCGGGAGCGTCCCGAGGAGACTGACCTGCTCCGAAGGCGAAGAAGAAGCTCTTGTCGGGCTGCTCCTCCAGCAGCGCTCTGACGCGGCGGCCCATGCGCTCGTTACGCGTGTAGATCAGCTCCTGTCTGAAGTAACGCTCGATCTCCTGCGCCGTCACCTGCTCGCTCGCCGGCAGCGTCGCGTTCTTGAAGCTCGGCACCTGGACGCAAAACGGACCGATATCATTCCAGTTTAGGTTCGAAAAATTGATTTCTATAGCGCTTCATACAATACACAATCTCCCAGAGCAGCTTCACAGTGAGAAACAGGAAAGATAATAACAGTGTTGCAAAATGTATCAAATGTGACACTGGAACACAAAAAAACAGTCTTAAGTGTCAATTTTCCAAAATTGAGATTTATACATGCTGAATAAATAAGCTCTCCATTGATGTATGGTTTGTTAGGATAGGACAATATTTGGCTGAGATACAACTATTTGAAAATCTGGAATCTTAGGGTGCAAAAAAATGTAAATATTGAGAAAATCATCTTTAAAGTTGTCCAAATGAAGTTCTTAGCGATGCATATTACTAATCACAAATTAAGTTTTGATATATTTACGGTAGGAAATTTACAAAATATCTTCATGGAACATGATCTTTACTTAATATCCTAATGATTTTTGGCATAAAAGAGAAATGTATAATTTTGACCCATACAATGTATTGTTGGCTATTGCTACAAATATACCCCAGCGACTTAACACTGCTTTTGTGCTGCAGGCTCACATTCAGCTGTAAATCAGTCATTATTCAGATCGATTCAGTGCAGTTAATTCAGTAATATTACTGAATATTAAAAACAGTGAATGCACAATTTCTTATACTGCATTTTTGTCCTGTTTTCCAGTAAAATATTTGTTAACACTTTACAATAAGGTTCATTAGTTAACATTAGTTAACTACTTTAGTTAACATGAACTAAGCATGAACAACACTTCTACAGCATGTTCATTTCAACATTTACTAATGCATTATTGAAAACAGTAGTTAATGCACTGTGAATGAACGTAAACTAACAATGAACGACTGTGTTTTCATGAACTAACATTAACAAAGATAAATACTGTATTGTTCATTGTACATTAACTAATGGAACCTTATTGTAAAGTGTTACCAAATATTTCAACATTCTTACAGCAAAGACATTTACATTAAGTAAAATGAGAGAAAACTAAATTAATTTTTTTTATTAAACTTTTTTTTATGCATGAGTAATAAGATTAGCAAGTTTTTTGTAGTTTTCATGAGCACTGTTAATGATACAGAGAAAGTAATGTGATTTTGGTATTCAGCATGTCAAACGTAACAAAGAAACATTCAAAATAAAAGCAGAACAAAACTTTTGCATGTTGTGTAGATGTTTAGATATTTATACTGGAAATGTTTTTCAGCAGATTTGATTGATAGTTTAGTATTTAGTGCCATGGCAGCTGCTATTCATAGCGAGAAACCACTGAAAAATGGAAACATTTAAATAAATAGAAAAATTAAATGTCAAAAATAAAAACTTTATGTAAAGTTTGTGAAGTTTCTTTGATTTAAAAAGAATCTAAAACAAAATCCTTTCATGAGAATAAACTGAAAAGTAAAGCGTCCTGGACACACGTGTTCAGGACATCAGTCCATCAAGCTCTGAGGTACCTGCGAGGCGTTGTGGTTGAAGATGATGGAGCGGAGGTCTCCACAGTTGTAGTGCTTGATCAGGTGCTCTGTGGTGTAGGGCACCTGCAGGCCCCCGGCGCGGAGACTCTCCTGCTGCAGCAGCGTCTGATTCAGAGCGAACATCACCTGAAACACAAGAGCTGTACTGCTCATTCTGCTCGCTCCTCATGCACAAACTGGCTCTTAAAGGGACATGTCATCATTTATTCGCCCTCATGTCACTCCAAACCTGCATGACTGACTGCATTCTCAGTTTTATGGCGCTCAAGGTGGCGGCGCGTTCACGCGCTGCGGCTTCTCTCTCTCCCGACAGAAAGGTGTTTTCGTGTTTTTTGTCTTGTGAGTCGCAGTGTTTTTGTACGTATTCGTCGCGTCTATCTGTCTCTAAGCGTGCGAAACGCAGAAGAAGATATTCTGAAGAATGTTAGTAATCGGTCTCTGTTCTCAGTGAGAGTTCTCAGAAGTCACTGTTGGTACCAACATTCTTGAAAACTTCTTTGAAAGATCTTATTTTGTGTTGTTCCACAGAAGAAAGTTAGTCACACTGGTTTGAAATGACATGAGGTATGATGATTGTATCGTTAAGGATAATTAGACGATATTTTGCTGAGTGTGTTATTGTGGACTCCTAAAGTTGTTCTAAGTGTGCTGTGCAGTTCACAGCAGTGATAGAAATTAATATTTTCCAATAAGTTTAAATAGATTTTTTACCTTTTATGGGCATTTTTACCTTTACAACGCCATTTTTTCTAAAAGTGCATTATCACATCAGAAAAATGTAAAAAATGCTGCTGGGGTGTAAAGTCCATAAACCGTTGCTCTTTAGATGCAGTGTTTCTTAATTCATCAACAAACTTTGTCAAAATGTACTTGTAAGTTGTTTTTAATGTAAAGCCATGTTATGAGTTTTTCAACAAAATGAATCTTTGCAATGCAGAGGAAACACAGAAGCTGCATCTGAAGAGCATTTAGATGTATTTACAGACCGTTTAATGCAGCTCAGTTACAAATGCATGGATAATGTTTTGATATTTTAAACATAAAACGTTGAATACTGATATGTGAGATCATTTAGAAATTAGAAGAAATGTGAAATTAAAACCGCCAGCAGGTGGCAGCAAGTCACTGTTAAGAAGTGAGTCATTGCGATTGACCCGAATCATTTAAACGGATGATTCATTCAGGAACGAAACACCTTCATGTTGCTGTGGCTTTGTTTGGAATTGTTTTTTTTTTTGGCAAAACAGCAAAAACATGCAATGTGGTCTGTAAAACATAAGACTATTAATATTAACTTCTTGTTTATTGAACTGTTGTATAAAATCAATATCAATGCTCAAGAGAATTAATACACTGAAAAGATCTGGTGCAGGATTTACTCAGAAACTGCTCGTATATTTCACAAAACATGATAAAGAAACCGCAAATAACAGTGAACTAAGTGTAAAATTTTGAAGTAGAGCGACTGAAACAGTATTTTTTGTAAAACGTACACCAGTTATCGGTTTAAATTTAAAGTACTTAATTGGCATCGTGTTCAATGTACATTCAGTATTGCCAAAGCGTTAAAAACAAAACAGTAATGACAAGAAAAAGAAATATGCAATATAACAATAAGAAAAAAAGTATTAAAATAAGGTGCTCCGTAATTACTAAAAATAATACATATATAGAATTTTTTTTATTTATTACGTATTTATATAATACAGACATTTTAAGAAATTATGAAGGAAAAATACTTTAGTATATTTTAGTGGAGTGCAGCATTGAAAGTGTTTGTGAGTCTGGTCACTTAGTAAAGCAGCACAACAACATACATGCAACATGCGTGATCTGAGGAATCGTTCATGTCTGGATCACACACGAGCACTTTAACACTCAGAGGTTTGATCAGTATATGAGGACTAGTACTAGTGAAGACTGACTTGGTAAAAGCAGAAGTGCTGTGTTTGTGTCTGAAGCTCCTGAATGAGGTTCTGCTGAAGCGAGAGTGAATCTCTCACAGATCAAAGGCTCTGCGGAGGAGAGCTGCTCTCAATTAGTCCTAGCTGCCGCTTTTTGTTGCTGCTGCTGCTGCTGCAGCTCACCATTGTGTCACCATGAAATTCCCCAGTGTTTACACACACACACACACACACTCGCCACACTCGCCACTCACACACTCGCTCTCACACACACGCACACACTCGCTCTCACACACACACACACACAGACACACACTCTCACACACTCTCTCTCTCTTCAGCGGCGCAAAAGAGCCTTTCAGCCCCTTAAATTACGGCGCAGAGGAGGAGGCGGCGCTGAATGAAAGAGACCGGGCTGAACGAATGCTATTTCTTCCTCCGTTGTGTCCGTTCTGTGGGTCACTGGCCACATTCACACACACGGGAACCAGAGTGAGTTCCTATCAAAGTGCTGCGGCCCTATAAAAGTCAATAATTCAGCTTTGTGATGGAAATCACCCCGTTACGTTAAGTGTGTGATTTCTGCACCAAACAGAATCACAGAAATAGTAATGACGATTGAGTCCAAACAGTGTGTTTTAGACAAACGTCCTTATTCTGTGACAGGGCTGAAATAATATTAGCCTTAAGGCCCATTTACAGCAAAATAAATAACTATAACTATATTAGCGTCCGCGCCAAGATATCGTTCTGTTTGTTACGAGCAAATCTGCCGCTTTAAATGCTTGAGCTCTTTAAAGTCTAACGACTCTGATTGGCTGTGAATGTTTTCGTTCATTCATTGTTGAAAGTGATTCTGAGTTGTGGTTTGGACTTCACTATTCTTTTAAATTTAGGCAGATTTTTAAAACTATATCGTTATCATTATAGTAATTGTTCTTGGTGCGAACGGGCATTTAGTCCTGATAAATTATGTCGTTTCCAAGACTGTAAGCACATATTCAGATCCGGAGTACTGAACAATCTGCTGTTCAACAGATCAATATTGTGAAAGTGTCGAAGTATTTCATGCTTACGATACGGACTTTGCGCTCGAGAAGCTTCCGCAGATGCTGCAACGCTCGTAACATGACGTCATGCTCCGCTGAAACAAAACATAATGTAAAAATGTGCAGTCTACTCCAGTTTAGTTCACTTCTACTGATCGCACGTCTTCACGTGATACAAAAATCCGTATCCGAATCACGCCAAGAGAATCGCTAAGTCCACATCACAAGTGAAACGATAACACAGAGAAACGATATCATTGGAATCACTGATAATAATCAATAGAATCATTGACAGCCAATCAGAATCCTCCTTTAAGGAGCTCAAGCATTTAAAGCGGCAGATGGCAAAACTGTATCGTGCTTATAATAAACAAAACGTCCCCGTGTTGAGGTGGAAGATATGAGTGAACAGACTCTGAACATGAATCTGAACATCTGTTCAGTGGCCTGTCTGTAGATATCTGTATGCAGTATTTGTGAATGGACTCTGATAAGCTGGGAAACTTTCCCACGATGCCCTGCATGCATTTAGGAGTAACCTGATGCGTAACGCTGAGCTCAAACTCGCGTTAATTCAGAACAGAGCAGCCGTGTGTGTTTGTTCACTGCATTCATTCTGTGAATCGAGTTTGGCTTTGATTAGTCTCAGTGTCGGACAGTCGTAACACACACAGAAGCACTCTCTCAAACATCACCATCAGGGTTTTAGCCAAACTTCAGTCATGTTTACAAGCTATCATGTTGATAGACTTCTGAGGAAGTACTATTCACTGGATTAAACCAAGTAAACTAGTTTAGTGAGTTACCATTTGCCTTTAGAGGAACTCGTGAGTCGTGACTCCCACCAGAATAATATCCCACAAATATATATATATATCTATATATAAAAATCATTGTGGTTTCTTTAAAATTTCAATTTAAAACATGACAATGGTGTACTACAAAACAGAAAAGTTTTTCCTTTATGTTTTTGAAAAACAGGTGACTGTCAAATCGATCCCTATTCTCACAGAAAATGACTGAAAATGCTGTATTATGCATGCCTGGCCAGTAGATGGCGATGTCACTTTGTAAAGAAAATCGTGCATGCCTATAGACTGAACATTCACGTTATTAGAGTTTACACAGAGAC